AGAACACCAAGAACAACCTTCATATCTTCAAGTGACCGAAAACAGCCCAGGACCGAAAACTGTGTTCGGCCGAGAACCATTTTCGGCCGAGAACCCACTGGAACCGAAAACTCTTCTTTTTCGTATACCATTTTCGGTAACTATTCCTAGCACAAAAACAAGTGTTTCTAACACTTTAATGAATGGTTTTACTAATTTAGATACAATTGTGTGTTTAAATATTATTAGGATACTATAAATTCCACGTACATCAACTCGAGGGTCATCTTTCCAGTCTCGCTGTCCAGCACGCACACTATAATAACTGTGAGTTCATATCCCTACATTTTTTAACGCTTTTAATATTTTTAGGGGGGGATAAAAGTAAAACACAAGGACTATTGTGTTTATACAAATATTTTTAAATATTTTAAAACTTTTGCGATTGTTTCATAACGAGTATTCGCTACACTTCTAAAATATTTTTTATATTTAACCCTTTTGTAATATGTTGAGCATAAGGGTATTTTACTTTTATAGAAGTAAATTGCAAACATTTTCAGTACATAACAGAAGATTACGAATAAAGTATAATTGGTATAGTTTGGGATTAACTACGTTACTTTGCTAAGGATAATGCACAGAAACAAAACGATTATTCAAACTATAATAGGTATAGTTTGGGAAATACTACTCTATTTCACTACTACAAGGATACAATACTAAAATAATTATGTAAGTATAATTGTTTTACATTACAAGGTAATATATACAGTTACAATTACAAGAGAACACTATAACACTACACGTAAACTAGTTAATACAGGGTTGTGAGGCACTACTTCGGGTACCCACCAGGGTACAGGTTGAGGTCCTATAAATTATAACCAGAGTCTCCGGGTTGGAGAGCGTGAGGTTTGTGTATAGCTCTATACGGGACTGACAATCCCACACCCAAACTGCTAGCTACAGTTAGGCAGGCATACCTGGGGGTGACAAATGTCATATTACTGACACCTGAAGAACGGCGTATAGGTCACTAGGTCATATTAGCATGGTTATATGAAACTCACAACAGTATAACTAAAACATTTGTTTACGGGATTAACACTACTTCAATGGTTTTATTTTCATCTATAAAACTATGGTACACTACTTTACACTACAGTTGGTAATAATCAGGCATTCATACATGGTTTTTATACAAATACTAATACAATACACTATTTTCACTACAACTGGTGGTATCCAGATATACATACAAAGACTTTCATACAAATATAGATACAATACTCTGTTTTCAAACATAAGGTACACTAATACAGTATACAAAGACAAGGAACCCACATGACTACATTATATTCACTATAGAAAATATTGGATTTTCTTGAGTAACACGCTAGCATTTTTAAAGTTCAAAGACAAGTTTTCCATCACTAAAACATACTTATGAACTCACCAACTTAAATGTTGATACACTTTTAAAATCACTTGTATTCTCAGGGAATCAGTAGACAAGTACACTCGCAGGATTTTGAGAAGACGGAGCCTTTTAGAGTCGCGTCTTTTATACTTTTACTATACTTTTGATGTCATACAAACTATGTTATGAACAGATGTAAATACTATGTTTTATCATGTAATGGTTGTGTTTGCTTTGATTACTGTTATACAATTGTTGTGATACTGTACATGACGTCCTCCACCCCCGAACATTTCCGCCGTTCCGGTTTGGGGGTGTGACAAAGGGTGGACATCGTTCTTTACGTCCACAGACTTTAGACTATAAATTTTTTACAGGGGACTTAAAGTGCTATATTGGAGAAAGCGATGCTAGTATGTCTGTTAAGTTGATGGAACTTCGGAAAAAAGACATACCTAATGTCTCATTTGATTATATGGTAAAAGATAATCAGTTTAGGGGTGCGTGTTGCACTGATGTAATTTCAAAGCATAATTACACTGAATTCTCGGATGTTGTTTCTTTTGATGTCACTTTCAAAAAAACAAGTAAGATAATAGTTTATATTTATAATTAGATGTATCTTATTTTATTTTATTTTATTTTATTTTATTCTTTATTTTTAATTTAAATTTATTTTTTTAGGTATAGTTTGGTATTTGTTTCTTTTACTGGTATTGACAACCATAAAAGATGTGTTACATTTGGTGTTGGTATTCTTGCAAAAGAAACTATGGATTATTACTCATGGCTACTAAAAACTTTATTTCTTCGTTTAGAAAACAATCTCCTATAGTTTCCACAGATCAAGATGATGCTATGGCAAAAGTTATGAAAATTGTTTTTATGCAGTCAACCCATTGGTTGTGTATGTGGCACATTGGGAAGAAGTTAGAAGATAAGGTAATTTATGTATATGACGCTTCTTTTATTTATATATATTAGTGTCTAAAATGTGCATTTGTGCATTTATTTCATTGTTTGTATGAAACAACATGTTAAATGTGCATATATGTTTTTTCGTGTTTTTATATGTTCTTAAATTTTAAATTTTTATATGTACACTTATTTTATTATAAATTTAATAAGTAGTTTTTTTGTTTTTTTTCATACATGTTTCTAAACAGATATTGACTGAAACTGATTTCCAGAAAAAAGTATCAACATTTAATTTGGAATCAGTGCATTGATCCTGAGGTTTTTAAAAATGATTGGAACTCTTTTATTAGTGAGTTTTATTTAGAAGATAACAAATGGATGAAGCAGATGTTTTTAATTCGTGAGCGATGGATTCCTGCTTTTTTCAAAGACATTTCATTATATGGTCTTATGAGGACAACTTATAGATCTGAGAGTGAAAATTCTTTTTTTTTCGGAATATTATGTCCAAAATAGCCCCTTGTCTTCTTTTATGGTAAAGTTTAATGTTGAAATGGACTTACAATGTAATACACAAATTTCCAATAATTTTGATTGCTCGAAGAAAGCTCTTGTTCTTGATACATCTCTTCCATTAGAACATCAAGCAATAAAGTTTTATACGAAAAATATATTTTCCATCGTTCAAAATGAATTATATGATTCTATCTACTCATGCTCACCTAGTACAGTTTCTATTGTTGAAGGGCATGATGTTTATGTAGTTTCAGAGCAATCATTGGGTGAATATGGTGAGAAATCGAAGTGTGTATTTCAAGCAATTTTCAAAACTCGATCATAATCGAAATGTAAAGGAGGTTGAATTCTACATATAGATTCTCTTTATACTTTCAAATATATTTATAATATTATAAATAAATATATTTCATTTTTTTGTTATTAAACATATATGCATATATACATTTATGTGCATATACGAACATTAATGTGTACTTTTTTCATTTGTTTTGAATAATTTTTAAAATTTGATACTATTAGGAATAAAATCCTCTTAGATCGATTAGATTCTAACAAGTAAAGTATTAGCAAGATATAAAAACAAGAACACAAGATGGATCAACTGGTGTCAAATGATTAAAAGACATAACCTCAGAAGAACTCTATAAAGAATTGCTACTGTAGAGGCGTGCTAGGGTTACAGAGAAAGATCAATATCAACATTTAACAACTACGGTGCATGCATGCACTATAAATACTATAACCCTAATAATAAATACGGTTGGACAAGCCCAAACCGTGTACATAATGGACTAAATAAACGGCCCAATGACGCAATCTATTATACCCAACAATCTCCCCCTTTGCGTCAATTGAGGCCCGAACCCTTCATCCTTGGATTCGTTTCTGCACTTCATACACCTTCGGAATCATAACATAAATCACTTGGCAAACTTCAATGTACCATATAACCATATCTGAGAAGCACTTGATATCATCTTTCTTGTTGCCTTTGAACTTGCTCACATGCTCCAAAATAAACTCAAGGAAGGTTGTGGTATAGAGATGCTTATCAGAAAGATAGAAGCATCCTTTATGAAAATATGCTCCAGTTCGTTCCCTAGCAGAATAAACCACGAACCAATCTCCACTGTAAAGTTTCCCTGGTTTCAACTTTTCAAAATCCTTAGGAGTTTCCTTAAGAACAGCCGAAGGCTTCTTTCGCATGATACCAATAACTTCAACATCCATCTCCCCAATCTCCTGAATATAGGACTGTATCACGTGCTTAAGATGAGACATGATAGGTTCATACTTTTCTTTGTCCTTCAGCAATATGTTGTAATGAACAAACCAGTCGTTTGGGTTAAGGCATGGAATATATGTAAGAGTAAACTCATAGCATTGGCTGGTTGAACCTCTTGCTACTTTGAACTTGGCGTTCGAAAAGCTATCAGTCTTGATCGGCCCTGTAACTTTCACACCGGTAATTTTGCTCAATGACCAGGTTTCGTATTGTGGCTTCATATGCTTTAGATAGAACGAGAAAAGCATATGATCCGCTCCGCTGTCTGCAATTGGAGCGTTCGCCACTTTAACAAAAGAACAAAATCTGAAGGCTTTTGTAGTAATTGGCAGATCCAGTTGGGAGTCTTGTGTGTTCTGAAGTTTAAACGAAACTACTGGTTCTAACCAATACTGGCTTGGAAGATCAACAACATCACGCTGGATTCGCTTTAGGGTCCACTTGGGGAACAAGATCTTTTTACTCTGAAGAGTAGCTTGTGCTTCTTTCTCAGCCCTTTCCTTTTCTTCGGCTTCACGGATAATTCGCTGGTGCTCATCCATTTCAGCTTCACAGACTTTCCACCTTTTTACTTCTTCTTCAGTAAGCTCTTCTTCCTCTTCATTATCAATAATTGGGTCGTCACAGAACAACTTTTCCTTGTCTTTAGGTTCCTTCTTGACAATAGGCTTGACAGGAGCTTTAGGTTCTTCCTTTTGTGATCCACCAGACACATTTTCTTTTCTTGATCCACCAGTCACACTTTCTCCCCCTTGTTTCAGATTAAAGGATTGATCAGAAACACCTTCAAGGCGGTGAAGCATGGCGAAGACTGGCTTTAACTTTTCCGTCATATGCTTACGCATAGTGATGGTGATCATAGAGTCCCTGGTCTCAATGATATCCGAGAGCATGCCAGTAACATCAGTTATACAACTTCGCATGACTGCCCTCTCAGATAACATATCATTGACCTGTTTCTCCGAAGCTTTCAGTTTGGTACCTAACATCTTGGCTTCTTCTGTCTTGAGAGCGAGAGAATCCTTGAGGGTACTTTCCTTTACAAGTTCATCTTTAAGCTGAGAAAGCTGAGATGACATAGTGGCTTGAAATGATTCATGATCAGATTTCAGACCAGTCTGAAGCTCTTGGAGTTTCGTCTTTTCAGTCTTGAAGAGAGATCCCAGACTCTTCAATGCTTCATTAGCTGATGTGGTGTTGGAATTGTAAGTGGTTTGAAAGTTCTCCATGAAAGCAGTGGTTTTTCCAATTAGTTTATCGACTTTTTCGGTCGTGGACTTGAAAACCTCAGCAGAATCGGTGACAACTTTATTCGATGTTTCAACAGAAGCGGAATGTTGTTTCATGATTCGCTCAAAGATAGACTCAACAACTGCTTTAGCATATGCGTCAGTAGAAGAAGCTTTGTTAGAGAGAAGCACCTGGTCAATCTTTTCATGGAGGGATTGTAGTTGCCCTTTCATTACTTGCACCTCATCTTCATTCTTAGTCCGCATTTGGAAGGGACTGTAAGTAAAATCCCCAAGATCTTCATCTTCGTCATTACAAAAGATCATATCTGGATCATCACGGTTAAGAGGGGAAATAGGAGGTGAAACATGAGTGGAGAAACCTGAATTTAGAGCCCACATATCAGATACGTTGACAGAAACAAAAGGTGGGATGGAGATAGACTCTGGATTCACCATTGAATCAACACAGTTTAGCCCTAGAAGAGAGCAAAACCTAGACTTTGAGACCGAGTGTTTCTTATCATGAACTTCAAAGATGATCTGTTCCTCCTCCTTGACATACTTAGCCGATGAGAAGGCCTTCGACAACAGGGACATAGGAACACATTCAACCTTGGTTAAGGCATTAACCAAAGGTGAGTACTTCAAGCACTCGACAATGGGAAACATGTACGGATCATACTTGAACGGAGACAAGTCGAGGATCAAGTTCTGGTGGGGCTTGATAGTGAGAAAAGAAGACTGAGCAGTATGTTCTTGAACAGATGATGAATCGGCCATTGTTGCAGGTGCTTGGAGAAGATGAACAGTAAGAGAGAAATCGCCTTTTAGGGTTCTTGATAATTTTGAAAGAGGTAAAGATTAACTTAATAAACGATAACCCCTTTTATACAATTTCCCAAGAGAGAGAAAATCGAATCGTCAATCGCATAAAAATCTCGTAAACAACGCCTAAAAAGACCTGATTTGACAACTGTTCCTTCGAAAAGTGTGGCAGGCGGCGTGATGATTGGTGACGTTTCAAATTCACGCCCCTTTTGTTCGAAATCTTATCCATTCCTCCTCCTCTTTATATTTTTCCCTAACGCTTCATATTCCAATTAAATAAACTGAGCGCCTTTCGCCTTTTGAAATACAAGACCACCATAGCATCGAGAAGCGAAACTGTGAATCTGAAAAATACCATAAGTACAACGAACTAGATTTTTGGAAAATCATAAAGATCTTCATGCAAGATTGTGCCAAAGAAAAAGAAATAAAACAAGTTATATCTGTGGGATGTAAGTGATGTCATTAGAGACATGAAACTGTGGATCCCGGGCACGAATCGCTTCCTTCAAAGTCAAGAGACACTAAGAAGTGCTTGTGTGGTGTCCCGTTGAAGTACGATCAATTGTTTGTTAAGAAACATTGAAAGGCATCTTTTAATTACGGATTTAAGGGTGATTTTCGCTTCAATCAAACTATGAAACTTGACATAAGTTCGAAAGTTGGTTGAAGTACTTGTGTGGCCAGTGTAGCCAAAAACATCAAGTAGGTTGGATGAATTTTCAGTGACCTGGGAAAATTTTAGAAATCTCAAAAACAAAAACGAAATTGGATCTTTTGGGAAGAAATTTCTTAGTTTCAGAACATTCCATAAAGATCTCGCAAAAATAAAAGAGATTTCGTGGTACAAACCATGATAATGGCTTTCGTTAATTCATGGGTGAAAAGCTAGAACTTTCAATGGTTCACCGTCAATTCATTGTGGTGTCGGATTTTAGGTCTCACTTAGTACGTGGTAAAACGAAACTAAGATCATTAACACAAATGTTGTGTAACCATAAACGTCAGTGGTAAATGATAAGAGTTTCAAGGGTTACATTAATGAAAATGAATTTAATGGAGAAAAGTGTTGAGGTGGTATAAGAAACGAAAGTACCTATGCTATGCGAAAGTGACCAAGCAGACAACTCTTAACTCAATGTGAGAAGAGTAAGGTAGCTCCTGACTAATGTGAATTAAGCAGCCTGATTGGGAAGAAACTATTTGTATGTATCGAATCAGTAAGGCTTCACATAGAGTCGTTGAGGCTTTAGACAACATACAATAGCATGCTTCTAGAGACACTTAGCTAATACATAGATAAAGAAGTTTATACCTGCCCCATCAAGCGAATTAGAGTGACTCTAGATATGTGTTGTCACAAGTTTCGCTATTATCTATTTTTGGTATTTTAATTTTTTGTGAAAAAGAAAAGAAATAAAACTAAACACAAAGGAAAATATTTTTGTTATCTTTAATTTTCTGAAAAAGAATTAAAAAAAAACAGAAAGAAAAGTAAAATATTTTTGGATTGTGGTTTTTCTGAAAAATAAATAAAAATAGAAATTTAAGATATGCTTAAACGAAATAGTATACATAATGTACAAAAAGGATACGGGAGTTCCAAACCAACAAGAAAGTCGATTAATTAACCGAGAGTTCGCTTATAGAGAATGAGTGAAGCGAATTGGAGCGAGAGTTCGGTCCATTTCGTGTCCTGAGATAATCGGAAACAAAATAGAGCGAGCGTTCGCCTCATTTCGCTTTACAAATACTTACAAGGCGAAAACGAAGGTGATTCTCATGAAAGCGAAGGTGGTTTTGGAACAGATTCAACTTCCATCATTCCTAAGCCTTGGAGTATTCTATTAAATTATGCTTCAAGCAAGGCTTTCATGAATATGTCAGCTAGTTGATCAGAGGATCGTACGAAGTGTATTTCAACGTTTCCATCTTCTACGTGATCCTTGATGAAGTGATACCTCAGTGCGATGTGTTTTGTCTTTGAGTGTTGCACCGGATTATGACAAATGCGAATAGCACTTTCAGAATCACAATGTAGAGGGATTTGTTTCATGTTTAGGCCATAGTATCTTAATTGGCTCTGAATCCAAATGACCTGTGAAGCACAAGATGCAGCAACTATATACTCAGCTTCGGCTATAGACAAGGATACACATGTTTGTTTCTTGGACTGCCAACTGACGAGTTTGCCATCGAGAAATTGACACCCGCCAGTAGTGCTTTTTCTATCTAAACCACATCCTCCAAGATCAGCATCTGAGAATGCTTGAACGAAGAACCTTGATTTTGCTGGATACCATATGCCAAGAGATGAGGTTCGTTTCAGGTATCTGAAGATGTTCTTGACTGCCACCATGTGAGGTTCGCATGGATTTGCCTGGAACCTAGCATAATAACAGACGGAAAACATAATGTCTGGTCTACTAGCTGTTAGATACATCAATGACCCTATCATCTGACGATACAGAGTCATATCAGCAGCTGGTTTTTCCAGAGATGGTGTTAGTTTCGTTTCGAATGCCATTGGAACTTTCACTCTTGAATCTCCCATCATGCCAAACTTTGCTAGTAAGGTTTTTGTGTAAGCCTCCTGATTTATGAAAATGCCTTCTGGTCCCTGTCTAATATTCAGTCCAAGGAAAAATTTAATTGGACCCATTGAACTCATCTCAAATTTAGTTTCCATCAACTTGCGAAAATCAGTTGTTAAGCTAGGATTCGTAGAACCAAAGATGATGTCATCAACATAAATTTGGACAATAATTAGGTGGTCACCTTCTTTCTTGCGAAAGAAGGTTGGGTCAACCGAACCTTGTTTGAATTTTGGCATTTTAAGAAAGTGAGTTATGGTTTCATACCAGGCTCTAGGCGCTTGCTTTAGACCATAAACTACTTTGTCCAAAATGTTGCAGTGATTGGGAAATTTCTCGTTCACAAAACCCGGTGGTTGCTCGACATACACAGTCTCTTCCAGTTCTCTATTCAGGAAAGCACACTTGACGTCCATTTGAAACACCTCAAAATTCTTGTGTGCTGCATAAGCCAGAAAGATACGAACAAATTCTAACCTTGCTACTGGAGCGAAGGTTTCTTCATAGTCGATTCCTTCTTCCTGACAATATCCCTTGACTACTAGTCTCGCTTTATTTCTTATTACATTGCCTTCTTTATCCACCATATTGCAAAACACCCATTTAAAACCAACAACTGATGCATCTGGTGGAGTTGGTATTATTCTCCAGACCTTGTTTCACTCAAACTCATTGAGTTTGTCTTGCATCGCTTGCACCCAATCAGAATGATCAAGAGCTGTATTGACGGTTTTGGGTTCGACCTTAGAAACAAATGAGTTGAACATACTGTTGGATTAGATGTCTAAGCCCATAACTATTATTGGTATGTACTTGACCCGAGAGAATGGTCCATTTGGGTTGCATATCATCAGGACAATTTGTTAGGATGGACTTTTGAGAGAAGATGTTATATATGATTTATTAATATATTATAAGTTATAATATATTAATATGAAATCATATGAGTTAATTACTATTGATCAAGAATTAATTTGGATATTAATTTGGTGATCAAAATAGACTAATTCATCTATGGGGACTAATTGTGTTAATTAGTTATATTTATATGTGTTGGGCTTATGATCCATGTTGGACCAAGTTTATGTATGGATACATAAAGAGTTGGGTCACATGAACCATGGATCATAAGAGCCATGGGTATGGATTTGGGTTATATCCATAACCCTAGAAACCCCACATATAAATACATACTTCATTGCCCAAAATCGACACTACTGCATTCTTGGAGTTCATGGTGGTTTTGGGTACATGGAGATTCTCTCTCAAGTTTATCCTTTGTTCATGATGTGTTGTGATTCCACTTGAGGCTTCCACACTATTGGGGCTAAGCTCTTAAGGCTAGATACATCAAGACTTCAAGCTCCAAGATTAAGGTATGTTATCCTAACAAGATTCTTGTGTAGTGTAAGACAATTGTATGCTAGTTATAGGTTTAATACCTTGGAA